AACATAGTATTTAATCCAGAGCAGACAAATAAATACTTGTTTACTTACACAAGAGACATAATACTGTGCTTTGTTTGCTGAGAAGTAATAGCCGTTCCAAAGGAATACAATTTTCATCATCATTTCAAATCAGAATATCCTCACTTAAGCAAATTGGACACCAGTGAAAAACAAATTAAAGCATCCAGATTGTTGAAAAATCTCAGTGGGAAACAATGGTTTTTCAAGAAAGTAAACTCAGAAAATGAGGTGGCTACTAAGTTTATTTTTCAGATTTCTAAAGAAATTGCTGCTACTGGGAAGCCTTTTATTGAAGCTGAGTTCATAGAGATGTGTTTGCTGATTGCAGTTTCTAGAAAGTAGTAATCATTAAAACTATTTGGTACTACTAATGCAGTGTTGGTGGAGTTGTGAACTGATCCAACCATTCTGGAGAACAATTTGGAATTATACCCAAAAGGCTTTAAAACTGTGCCTACTCTTTGACCCACAAATACCACTACTAGGTCTGCATCCCCACAGGGATAAAAGAAAAAAGAAAAGAACCCATATATACAAAAAGATTTATGGCAGCTCTTTTTATGGAGGAAAGCATTAGAAACTGAGGGGATGTCCATCAGTTGGGGAGTAGATGAACAAGTTATGGTAAATGATTGTGATGGAATACTGTTGTGCTATAAGAAATGACAAGGGATGGTTTCAGAAAAACCTAGAAAGACATATATGAACTGATGCAAAGTGAAATGAGCAGAACCAGGGGAACATTGTACACAATAAAAGCAATGTTGTAATGATCAATGGTGAAAAACTTAACTACTGTTATCAATACAATAATCCAAGACAATTCCAAAGGACTCATGATGAAAAGTCCACTCTACCTCCAGAGAGACCTGATTAACTATGAGTGCAGACTGAACCATGTTATTTTTCACTTTCTTTATTTTACTTGCCTTTTATTTCTTTTGCAATATGGATAATATAGAAATATGTTTTACATTATATCACATGTATGACTATATTGTATTACTTGCCATCTCAGTGGGTGAGGGAGGGGCCAGTTATGAAGAATGAAAGAGTTCTTGACCAAATAAGCAATAGAAAAGATCAAAAGAGATAAAATGGACAATTTTAATTATATAAAATTGAAAATGTTTTGTACAGATGAAGTCAATGCTATTAAAGTTAGAATGTAAGCAGTTAAATGAGGAAACTTATTTGATAAAGGTCTGAGATTTGAGATGTATCAGTTATTCATTCAGTAATTATTAAGTGCCTATTATGTGCTAAATATGGGGAATACAAAGAAGAAAAAAAAAAGACGGTCCCTGCCCTCAAGGAGCCTATAATCTAATGGGGGAAACAATATACAGACAAATCTATACAAAGCAATCTATAGACAGGATAAATAGGAAATAATTAAGAGATGGGACGTATTAGAATTAAGACATGTTGGGGAAGGTTTCCTATAGAAGATGGTAAAAATCCCACCTGGGACCCCACAGAATCCAGGAAGCCCAGTAGATGGAAAAGAGGAAGGAGAGTGCTCCAAGCACGGAGAACAGCCAGAGAAAATGCTCAGAACCAAGAGGTGGAATGTCTTGTTCATGGAGCAGCCAAGAGGCCAGTGCCACTGGATCAAAGAGTATGTTTTGGGAAATAAGATGTAAGAAGACTAGGAGTGGTCTAGGTTATGGATGGCTCTGAATGCCAAAGAGAGCATTTTGCATTTAATTCTGGAGATAATAGGAAGTCACTGAAGTTTATTGAGTAGGAAAGTGACATGATCAGACCTATGATTTAGAAAATATTTCTTTAGCGGATGAATGAAGATGGATAGGAGTAGGGAGAGACTTGAGGCAGACAGACCCACTAGCAGCCTTATTGTAGGAGTCCAGGAATGAGGTGATGTGGATTTGCACTAGAGTGGTGACAGTGTCAAAGGAGAGAAGGGGACATATTTGAGAGATGTTGCAAAGGTGAAATCAACAGGCTTTAGCAAGATATTGGATAATGAGGGGGGTGGGGGGGGCATGAAGGTTGACAGTGAGGACTCTAAAATGACATAGGTTGTGAGTGTGACGGACTGGGAGGATGGTATTACACTTTTCAGCAGTAGGGAAGGGGGGGATAAGGTGGAAGGGTTTTGGGGAAATATAATGAGTTTTGTTTTGAACATGTGGAGTTTAAGATGTCTAAGGGGCATACAGTTCAAGATGACTGAGGGGCAGTTGGAGATGCAGGATTGGAGATCAGCAGAAAGTTTAAGATAGAGTAGATAGATGTGAGAATCATCAGCATAAAAAAGGTCATTGAATCCATAGGAGCGGATGAGCTACTTAAGGAATTGATTCAAACATATAAGAACACAGCCATTCCTCAATAGTTAAATGGGGAAATGATATAATCAGGCCATTTTTTTAAAAAGGCAAATTATGCTTCAAATTACAGATACTAAGAGAAATGAAAATTAAAGCAAAGCCAAGGTTCTACCTCACACTCATCAGATAGGAAAAAATGATTTTAAGTAAAATGACAGTTGTTTAAGGGGCTATGGGAAAACAAGCACATTAATGCATTATTGGTTGAGGTGTGATTCCTTCCAACCGTCTTGAAAAACAATTTGCGACTGTGCACTGAAGGTCAATAAACTGTGAATGCCCTTTGACTCAGCAATACCATTACTAGACTTAAAACACCAAGGAGAGAAAAGAAAGAGGAAAAGGACCTAATATAAAAAAATATTTTTGCATCATTTTTGTTATAGCAAAGATCTGGAAACGGAGTAGGAAAAGGCTGGACAAATTATGATCTATGAATATAGTGTAATATTGTTGTTCCCTAAGAAATAACAAAAGGGAGAGATTGGGAGAAACCTAGAAAGACTTGTATGAACTGATGCAGAGTGAAGTGAGCAGAACTAGTAAAAAAATTTCCTAAAACTTCAACATTGCAAAAGAAATTAAAGACTTGAGAACACTGATCAGTACAAAAAACAACCATGTCTCCAGAAGACCAGTGACAAATCATCTTTACAAAGAAGTTATGGTTTGAAGGTATAGAATGAGACATATTTTCCAGATAATGACAATATGTGGATCTGTTTTGTTTGACCATACTTATTTGTTACAAGGTAGTGTTTATCCTCTTCTGGATCACTGCTTTGTCATGTGTGGCTCAATGGAACTGTGAGCTATGCTATGCAGGGTTACACAAGACAGACAGGTCATAGAGGAGAGTTCTGACAAAAGATGATGCACCGGGGAAGGAAATGGCAAACCACTCCAGTATCTTTGCCAAGACGGTACAGTACAGTTATCCTTTCCACATCGTGACTTTCCCCATTGCAGTTTCAATATGTTGTGAATTGACATAAGAAATTACTGTAGTATTTCATTTTTTTTATTTCTTTTTTATGTAGTATTTTTACTTAACATTGACTTACATATAGCCTATGAACAAATACTTAATCCAGATTTTACAATAAAATACTGTAATCGCCCAATGAAAGAAAAAGAAAAAAATCAGACTCCTTCTCTGGTACAAAGGGAGAGCCAGAAAATTTTACACGGATTTTCCAGATTGTGGGGGCATGATGCCCCCACATGCGATTCCCTGCAATGTGGAAGGGATAACTATTAAAGTTATGACATCAGAAGTTGAGCCCTTCAGGTCAGAAGGGTCTGGTGTGTTATGGTCCGTGGGATCATGATGAATCAGACATGACTGAATGACTAAACAGCAACAATAGTGTTGATTTGCAAAGGGTAATAGGGAGCTTTGTATGGAATGGTGGAGTAGTATTGATGATGTAAAAAAAAAAGAAAAAAATTAGATTTATGAAATACACAGAAGAGAGCAGAAAGAAATTCAGAGACAAACAGGGTAATATTGCAATTATGTTAATTAAAAAAACAAACTACAAATAATTGATTCACAGTTTCACATACGGTCCTCTTTCTCTTCTTTGTATAAGGAAATAATCATGCTTGTTGTCCATCAAGTTCATAATTTCTTTTTTTAAAAAGGGTTATTTATGATAGTACCAAAAATCAAAGTAAGTCCAAGAGGCATCCTGTTTATAGAGAAGGATGATGTTTTTATTTTGGTGTGTTAAGGTCCAGGTAACAGGAAGACTTAAAAAGATGAGTAGTTTCATCATTTCATCATCTGTTGACACAAATTATAATCATTCCAGAGTCTTTAGGAGTTACAGTGAAAAATCGGAAAATACAGGAAAAGAAATCACTTAGACTTCAGATTAGGCTGCTTCTCAGCAGCAGAAACTATAGTCAAAAGGCTCACACTTGAAGACTTAAGAGTTTTCTTTTTTGTTACCATAGCCTTTGAGAAGCCAGTGCTATCCCTATTTACTCTATAATAAGGTATTAGTCTATACTAGAAACAGACATCCAATTGAAAATATCCAGCAGTTAGGTAGAGATTCATGGTTGGCTCACAAGAGATGTAGATAGCAAATCTTACATCAATAAGCTACTGCCTAACCTAAGCACGAATGTGTTAACTAAGATAAAACAAGACATTTGCATAGTTTCTTATGTAGACCTAATGTTCTTTTTGATCTTTTTGCTACTGACATATTCATTTATTTCTAGTTAGCACTGAAGGTCTGACTCCAGATGCAGGCCTTGCTTAAGGAGCCAAGTATTGCTGTTATATGGATACTGTAATAAGAGATCCTATCTATTTTGCCTACTTATTGCAGTTGTTGGTGCAATAAAAACCCCAAAAGTTTTCAATAATAATAATAATAATAACAAGATAGCACATATACATATTTGGTATTTCTCTCAGCTGGATTGCAAGCTCTTCAAGGTCAGGAACTTTTTTGATTTCTTTGTCCTCAGACTTAGTATAAGACTATGATTGTTGTTGATTGGGTTTTGGTATGAATGGCCTGCAGACTTTGACGGAAATTACTAATTGTCAAAAGCATTAAGTTCAGAAGATGAACTAAACGACCTACATTGTTTCTTTTTCAGGTTGCTGTATAACTGCCATGATGATGCATCCAAGTTTGTCTATCTTTTAGCAAAGCCCAACTGCAATTGTCTAGAACAAGAGGATTTTATTCCTTTACTTCAGGTACTTTTTGCTTGCTCATGAAAATGGTTTCCATTTCTATAGAAAGGTGGTTTAAAAATAACTACAAAGTGTATATAGTAAACCTCTACTTCACCACCTGCAGTCATGTGGAGCACTTCCAACAACTAGATGTTAAGCAAAAACAAAAAAGTGTCCAAATAACTCTAACAAAACCCGTATACTTAACTCATTAGTTCATTCCTAAGCCACCTATGTCCTTTTACTCTTATCTTATACACATTTATAACAACCTTAGTATTTTGGTTTCTAAACCTACCAGAGACTAAGAGCAGCCTTTTGATAGCATAAGGCAAGTGGTGGAGAGATTGATAGCTTGTAAACTCCTTTTGCCCAACTAATAAAGTAACCTTTCAGTGACTCTAAAATGCCTCTGCTGCAGATGGCACATACTGAAAAATCAGCCCTGAAAATAATCAAATCTCTGTTATTTGTAAAAATGAAGGGAAGCAATGATGGATAATCCTAAATAGAAAAATTATCATTTACATTTGACTTTGGAAGGTTTGCCAGACACATGCTAGTGTGTCTTTGCACAGGCTATCTCCCAGGCCTGTATTGCACTGTCCTCACTTCTACTTTTTTAGAAATCCTAACAAAAGTTATCAAGGCTTATCTTCACCCTACCTTCAGTACAAGTGTTTTCCTAACCTCTACATCTGCCTTTCCTCTACCAAAAAAACCCCATTTCTTTCTATTTACTTTTCACATCTGTGTAAAGCTCTTTTGGCCAGGCTAGACTATCTTCCTCCAAGTTAAAGACTGTGGGAGTTGTATTTCTGTCAGGCTGAAAAGAGAGAACTGTCATCATGAGATCAGAACTGGGGGCAGAGCTTCTGGTACAACTGGAGTTTAAAGGGCTTTCTGGAGAAAAATGAGAGGAAAGTTGTCTATCTACTGCCACTGTGCACTCATGCCAACTCTCCTCCTGTTCCTGTAAAGAGAGTTCTTTAAACTTCAGCTCTATCAGAAGATCCACCCTCCAGTCCTGATCCCATGATAACAGATCTCTTTTTAGCTTGACAAAAATACAACTCCCAGGGTCCTTAACAATGTATGCCTTCTCAGAGGAAGTTAGTCCAACCTTACTAGAGAACTGCTCCACAAATGTCTTCATTTATTCAGAGATCCTTACTTTTATTTTATACACATTTCTTACCATTTTGATTTTTTGGTTGCTATTCCTACCACAGATTAGAAGCAGCATATAAAAGTAAGGTATATGGTGGCAATAAGAAAGTAAATACAACCACATTTTATTAAGTTTTCGACATGTTAACAATCTTCAGTGAGGACCATAGGAATAAGTTCAAAATTCAAAACCATTGTTTAAAAAAAGAAAGATAATGTAAGCATAGTCTATTTTGTTGCTTCTCTTTAATGGGTAGTAGCTAGTACACAAAATTTCACACATACAAATGTCTAACTGCTTAGGTATTCTTTCAAGATTTCTTAATGTCTCCAAGGTTAGGGAGCACAATTATTATAGTTGGATTGTTTCTGACTTCATCTTTAATTGTTTCTGCCAAAGTCTTTTGGACTAATTTCCCTGATGTGACTGACATGAGAAAGGTAATATGATGTGTAATGGAAAGAATGCTGAACTTATTCAGTGCCATACCAGTCAAACTACCAAAAAATTATTTTATAGAGCTAGAAAAAATAATAACAAGATTCATTTGGAATAACAAAAGGTCCAGAACATCAAAGGAATTAATGAAAAGAAATACAGGGAAAAGTGACCTAGCCATTCCGGATCTTAAATTGTATTATAAAGCAGCAATCATCAAAACTACTTGGTACTGGCTAAGAAATAAAGTAGTGGATTAGTGAAATAGGTTAGGTATACAAGATACAGTAGTCAATGACTATACTAATCTACGATTTGATAAACCTAAAGACCCCAGCATCTGGGATAAGAACTCACTATTTGACAAAAACTGCTGGGAAAACTGGAAAAGAGTATGGCAGAAACTAGGTATAGACCAAAATCTCACACCATATACCAAAATAAAGTCAAAATGGGTTTATTATTTAGATATAAAGGCTGACACTGTAAGCAAACTGGGAGAGCAAGGAATAGTTTACTTATCAGATTTATGGAGAACAGAAGAATTCATGACCAAACAGGAGATAGAGAACATTATGAAATGGAAAATGGATAATTTTGATTACATTAAATTGAAAAGTTTTTGCACAGACAAAGCCAATGCAACCAAGATTAGAGGAAGCAGAAAATGGGAAAGAATTTTTACAACCAGTCTCTCTGATAAGGGCCTCATTTCTAAAATACATAGAGAATAAGTCAAATTTTAAGAATACAAGTCATTCCCCAGTTGATAAATGGTCAAAGGATATGAACAGGCAGTTTTCTTAGATAAAGAAATTAAAGCCATCTATAGTCATATGAAAAAAATACTCTAAATGAAATCAAATTAAACCTGAGGTACCACATCACACCTATCAAATTGCCCAACATGACAAAACAGGTAAATGATAAATATTGGAAAAGACGTGGGAAAATTTGAAAACTAATGCATTGTTGGTGGAGTTGTGAAATGATCCAACCATTTTGGAGAGCAATTTGGAACTATGCCCAAAGAGCTATAAAAATGTGCATACCCTTTAACCCAGCAATAGCACTTCTAGGGCTATATCCCAAAGAGATCATACAAATGGGAAAAGGACCCACATGTACAAAAATATTTATAGCAGCTCTTTTTGTGGTGGCAAAGAATTGGAAATTGAGAGGATGCCCCTCAGTTAGGGAATGGCTGAACAAGTTATGGTATATGAATGTAATGGAATACTATTGTGCTATAAGAAATGATGACCAGGCCGACTTCAGAAAAACCTGGAAGGACTTGTATGGTCTGATGCTGAGTGAAGTGAGCAGAACCAGAAGAATGTTGTACACAGTAACAGCCATGTTGTACAATGACTAATATTGATAGACTTAACCCTTCTCAGTAATACAAGGACCTAAGATATCTCCAAAGGCCTCATGATGGAAAATGCTATGCATATCCAAAGAAAGAGCTGTGGAGTTTGAATACAGATAGAAGCATACTATTTGCTATTTTGTTTTGTTTCCTCTTTCTTGTGGTTCCTCCTATTGGTTCTAATTCTTCCTTACAGTATGACTAATGTGAAAATATGTTTGATAAGAATGTATATTGCGTGCTGTCTTGGGGAGGGAGGGAGGGAAGGAAAAAGGAAGGGGGAGAAAAATTTTAAACTCAAAAGCTTATGGAAGTGATTGTTGATGATTCAAAATAAATTAATAAAAATTTAAAAAAAAAAAAGAATGCTGGACATGGAGTCAGGAACACCAGGGCTTGAATCCTGCCTCAGACAGTTATTGGTCCTGGGTGACCCTGAGCAAATCACTTACCATCTATCTCTAGCCTGTTTCCTTAGAAAGGGGCTGGATTTGATAGCTTCTTAAGGTCCATTCCCAATATAAGTCTGGGTGCTATGATCCTTATAATCAATGATTGTGTGGCCTGGGCCTTGCTCTATAAAACATGAAAATCACATTTTGATCTTGAAAATGCTGTTGATCACCAAAAACATCATCTAGCAACTTAGATTATTAAATGATGAGAGAAAAAGATGGTTTTTTTGCATTTTGCTTGGCTTGATCTTTCAGGATGTAGTGGATACCCACCCTGGCCTCACGTTCCTTAAGGATGCTCCAGAATTCCATTCCCGCTATATCACTACGGTAGGTTGGCTTCTCATTTTTTTTAACATTATCAACCAATATTTCAACCTTTAAGATCCTTCTAAAAAGGGTAACAAGCAACAGATATTCCAAGTGGGAATAAATTATACTATATGATTAAATCCATCACTTACTTTATCTCTGTTACCATTTTAAAATGTTCCCAGTACTTAAAAAAGTGTTCCATCTGCAGTGTGAAACTACTGCCAATATGAATGAGAAATCTCACTAAAATTGCCAGTGAATATTCTTAATTAATTTTTGCCCATCAAGTAGAGACAAATAGGCAAAATTGTGGGGTAGATCTCATGTTGTTCCCTAAATATTGATACTTCACTGAACTTAGGCATTGTTAAACAAGAAAGAAGAAGTTATTCAACAGGTCTGTCTAGAAAATGTTCTGACCAAGTCAAATAACATCTTCTCCATTAAGGTTTTTCAGAGCCTCCCAGCCAGAAGTGATCTCTCTTCCCTCATTATCTCTCCTGGTATTTCCTATGAACTTCTCCTAGGCACTTATATTCTATTATTACTATAGTTATTTGTGTACATATATTATCATCCCCAATAAGCGTCTTAAGGACAAGGTCTTATTCACCTTTATATCACCAGTGTTTAAGCACAATGGTTTGCACCTGGTAGGTGCTTTAAAAATGTTGGTTGTATTTCATTTAATTACTAAATGTTAGAGCAGAAAAGGTTAGTATGGATAAGTGTCATCCAGGGTAAGGACACTAATCATGCAAAAATGCATATTCAGGGGGCAACTAGATGGCGCAGTGAAATCAGGAGTACCTGAGTTCAAATCCGGCCTCAGACCAAACACTTGACACTTACTAGCAGTGTGACCCTGGGCAAGTCACTTACCCCAACTGCCTAAAAAGGAAAAAAAAGCATATTCAGAACTACATAGCACATTTTTATTACACTTTTCACTTTCACACAGATTTATTTTTTAGTGAATCAAGCATCTTCTGTATACTGACAAACATGATCCCCACCCCCAATTTAGTAAAAATGATAAAATATATAAACAAGTAACATTTAATTAATCAATTATTTTTAATTACAGATGAAGATGGGCATCAAGTTTCAGAGACAAAATAGGTGACCTCTGAGGACAGTGCTAAGAAAGGCACATGGCTTTAGTCCTATTTTGCAGACCATATTTGCCCAGATGGAAAAAGTCTTGATCTCCCTGCCAAACAATCTCCTTAGTCTTGAAAAGTTCACTTGCCTTCTTCATTAATTAGGTAGACTGTACTTGAAATATCTGGACTAAACTGATAGTTTTTCTTCTTTTTCATGTATATAAAACCATATCTGAGCCAAGAATGCTTTTCTTTTTTTTCTCTAGGAAATTTTAGGCATGCCCTAATGAATTTGATCCATTTCTGCCTGATGTAGAAATCTTTTCTATTATGTCCCTGAAAAAATGGTCATTCCCTGGATTCAGGAGGACCTGAGTTCAAATCTGGACTGAGACACATAACACTTACTATCTGTGTGACCCTGGGCAAGTCACTTAACCCTGTTGCCTAGCCAAAAAAAAGAAATGGTTATCCAGGCTCTGCTAAAATATTTTCTAGAGAAAAAGGACTACTACTTCACAAAAAAATCCATTCCTCTATTGAGCAGTTCTAGATGTTAAAAGGTTCTTTCTTTTATTGAGTCAAAGTGTGCCTCCCTATGACTCCCACCCACTAATATTAAGTAGCTCTGCCTTCCATAGAAGCAAAAAGCAAATTTATTCATTTTTCTTCCTTGGCACCTCTTCAGGTATTTTAATGCAGCTCTGGAATTTCTCTTTAATCTTCTTTTCTACAGGCTAGACCTCCTTTCACCTAGTTCACTGTTCTTATAGATATTCTTGTGCAGGCACGTTTGTTTATTGAGAGGCTTCCCCCTTTCTTTCTCACTGAGGTTATTTGACATTCAACATTCGACATTGTATAACCAAAATTGTATTTTTTTAAGAATCTCTTATTCCTCTTGAGCTGTATCCCCTTTTAAGAGTCTCATCTATCTTTTTTTCTGAAGTTTTTGAAATTTATTTTCCAAAGGTCTGTTAGATATGTGCTATAAAAATGTTATTTTTTTTCTCTTCCTCTACTTTGCCAAGTACTTGCACTTACCCACCTTATTGTGTAGCTGGTTTCCTTCCTCTTCTTAGAATCTTTTTCTTTCTAGGTATCTTCCTAGATTTTTTTCCATTCTAAGAACGATTTTCTCTCTTTAATAAGCCCTTTTACCCATTTCCTCCAGCAAGAAGGGCAACATGCATTTGCAGAAAGTATAAATTAAGATTTTTAGATAAAAGCACAAATATAGTATATAGCTGTTGGTTGTGGCAGCAGTCTCTTTGTCTTATTTACTAGTTTGTTAGGGTTTCCTAAACCTGTTTGCCAGAGTTCTTTTCCTGATCACAGAACTCTTGGGAAGGATCTTTAAAAGCCTGCCTGTCTCCCTGGTGTCCCTCAAGCTACTGCTCCCATCTCCCATGCTTCTAATACAAGCAGTCACCAACTAGCAGCTGTGGTTGGTATATCCTCCAAAAGTAATAATTCACTGTATTCCACTTAACCTTTTCCCACAGGCATTGTGCACTCCTGTTTTCAGTAGCTTCTGTTTTTCATATTAGTAATAGATTTTACCAGAATTTTTACTTTATTCATTAATCAGAGGAGAGCCACCTAAAATGCCACCTAAAGCAAAAAATCTAGAATAAGCAGAAAATCATTAATAGAAACAAAAGAAAATTTAGAATTTCCTTTTCTGGGATTTCCCAGTGAACTTCCAAATGAAGACATTACTTAGAGAAGACATTGTTAAATTATAGGAATACAGGGATATACTTTGTTCAAAAGAAACAAGTCTAAGAAATGAGGAAGGTAATAGTCCTGAATGTCAAGAAGAGAAACAACTGTTATAGAAATATGTAATTCTGAGCCTGAACGCATAATAGAGAGTGTTTGTGTTGAGAATACAAAGGATAATGGAAGTGTTGTGGTTGCAGAAAGATACTACAGACCACCTAGCTCTGTAGAGGATATGGATGGTGTTACCCTAGTGCAGATTACAAAATGGACACAGAGGTTAGCTGTAGCAGTGATGGGAAATTTCAACTATCCAACCATCACCTGGAAGTTTAATTCTCTTAAAGGCAGAGCATCTGAAAAATTCTCGACTTGCTGGCAGTTTCACCTCTCAGAATATAAAAGAAGCAGTAGATAAATTGCTAGTCTGTATTTCATTCTAATCAATAGGGAAGAATCAGTGAGTGGTGTAGAAGTGATGAAAACCTTGGGGAGGAGGGAGAGTGGGGACAATGCCCACATCATTTTGAAATTCATAATAGGAAAGAAACATTCTTTATAGTCAAACATATTTTAGATGTTAAACGGACTTCAAAAGGTTTAGAAAAGAGTTAAGTAGGATCCCAGTGCCCAGAGACTTTAAACAGAAAGAAGCAAGATAATGAAGTTCAGTGATTCCCAGAATCTGGAGACTAAGGAGTACAAGGCAAAGGCAAGGAAGGGGAGGAATTTAGAGTTATTTCCAGGAACCCACCTCATTAAATGGTTTGATATAAATAAGAAAGCACACCTCCATAAATAATGTTTTACATACATGTTTGACTTTTTAAAGTAATATGTACAGGGCAGCTACGTGGCACAGTGGATAAAGCTTTGGCCTTGGAATCAGGAAGACCTGATTTCAAATCCGGCCTCAGACACTTGAAACTTATCAGCTGTGTGACCCTGGGAAAGTCACTTAACCCCGATTGCCTCACCAAAAATAAATAAATAAATATGTACATGCTCTTGTGACAAATATTTTAAAGGATTACTGAGTTCATACTAGTTTGTATCATATTTTCTCAATCAGTAAATAACAGAGCAATTACTGCAATGTGGGCTTCTTCAAAAAAAACCTTATTTTAAAAAGATATTCTTATACTTAAAAAGTTTGGGAACCACTGGTATAGTAGAAAACATACTGGACTGAGATTCAGATGACTTCAGTTTGAGTGCCACCAGCTCTGTAACCACAGGCAAATCACTTAATCTCTTTGTGCCTTAATTTCCTCACCTGCTGAAAAAAGTTAATAGCATTAGCACTATTCAGTTCAAAAAATATCAGTTATCTACTTGTTGTATATGAGGTGCTGTATTAGCTGTTAGGTTACAAAAATAGATATGGTACAGACCCAGATCCTCAAGAAACTCTTTTAATAGTATAAAAGAATGTACATAAATTATTTTTAAGAAAGAGAACATGAAATAAGTACAAAGAAGAAGTCCAGATGAAGTACCATGAAAAATTTTAGACAGGACTATCAAACTCTCGGGGGTGGGGGGAGAGGAATGAGGGCTAAATGGAACTTTTCAACTGGAACCTAAAATAATGAGCCTCTAAGAGATGGAGATGATTCCAGATGTGAATGATGCTGTGTACAAAGACATAGATATAAGAGAAGACTGAGCAAGCATAGTAGACAGTGAAAAGTTCAGTTTGGCTGGAAGTAGAGTGGAGTAGAATGAGATGATGCTGCAAAGTCAAGGTTGGAACCAGATTTTTAATAATAAATAATTTGTACTTTGCTTGATGGTCAGAGGGGAGAGAGGAGATGATGGATATTATAAGAGGAATGTCAAAGTTTCTAATTAAAAGGAAATGGAACACTCATGGGTAATGATGAAATCCATTATATGTAACTGAGGAGGAATAAAGGAGTAGGTCACAGGATTTAAGAAGACTAAAGAATTAGGAACTTAAGGACTTAGAGAGAGCATCAGTAGGAATGTTGGAGTCCCTTGGAATAAAGGAAAGAGTTGTGGGGAAGAGAGAAAGATGGTGAACCAGGTACTGAATTTGCCAAGAAAAGAGAGAGGATGATATGGGGTATACAACCAGCTGCCATCATTACTGGGTGGAAAGTTTTTATTGTATTCAAATGAAGAGAGATTGATGAGTAATGAAAGCAAAGGGAGACTCTG